TGTAAAGAAAAAAATCATTAAAGCATATACATAAAAAAATTAGCTATGGAAGAACAAAATTAAATAGCATCTTATTCCACATTAGAAAGAAAAAAAAAGGACCAAGTGTGTAAGAAACTAATTACAGGACTGAAAGAAAAGATCCGTCCTCTTTGAATTTTATACTTAGCAAACATACCTTTGAAAACTCAAAGTAAGATTTTCTAGTTATACAAACTTGAAATATTTCAATACCTCCAGAAGTAGCATATAGGAAATAACAAAGAGCATAATTCAAAAAGTAAAAGAAGTTGCAGTATGCTCCTGGATGAACAATAAAGGGCTCTCAATATGATAGTTATGCAGGACTATATAAACTATATTAGATGAACCCTTATTTAAAGGTCATTGCAGATTTCTATGAAACAGTACCAATCTTATGTTGGGTTATATATGTATTTTTTTCATATATATGTGTGTATGTGTGTATAAAAGGGAAGAAGTAGAGGGAAAATAAGGGTTGAGTAAATATTTCAAAAGGACATATTCTTTCTACATAGATAAATTTGTCAGTATTGTTTTTATTTTTCTCTAAGCATCTGCAAAAAGTAATTTTACTTTTGACAAAAAACTTCCTATGGATACATTTTTTTAATATTTTGGATTTCTAAGTTTTACTCATTCTAAATACACATCCTAAGTAAACTTTGCTACAGATGAAGTATCTGTTTTGTTCTAAGTCGTAAAGTGTGTTTTAAAATGAGGAAAATAGTGTACACCAAGTCCTAAAACACTTTTTTAAGAAGTTCTGATATACAACCATATACAAATCACATACTCTTGCAATTGTTTCAAGTAATTCTTTAAAGTAATTGGCTCTTTCTTTACTACTCTGTTTATTTCCATGATGACCTTGTTCTATCCAAAACTGGAACTCATCATTTGGCATAAGAATACCTGTAAAAATGAAAATTTAAAAACAAATTATCAATAAAAAATGAAAGGCCAGAAAAAAAAGGGAAGAAGTAATATAAAGTCAACAGAAAATGGAAATATACTTTTTAAAGTTTCTGATACTAGAAGAAGATATCATACAATGTCTTTTAAATAAATTGTAAGTCAAAGATATAGATCTTAGAACAAAAATTAAGATTAAGCAATATTCAGAAAATTAAGTACTAATTAATTAAAAATTAAATGTTTCAAAACAATTGAACTAAGAAAAAGTTTTCATGATAGAAAAGAAGTACTAAGAGTAAAACATAAGATAAATACTGGGATGCCAAATAAATGACCAGCACTTCTAACAGTTTGAGGATAGGATATCGCACAAAGTTCTAGTGTGTTGTGGACATACGTAATGACCGTGACAGTTACTGGTGGCCAGTAGTCACTTGTGGGACTGAGCTA